TCGTGTGTCTTGTTTCCCGTCTCACTCCTCTGCTCTTCCCATCTTCCTGTAGCTGGTTTTTATTTTTTCTTATAAGGAGGCGGAACCTTTAGTGTCGGAGGTTCTTCCTTCACCTTCCTTTGGTTCCGTAGCCCTGCGGGAGTGTTGTCACCCTGGATATCTCAGGGCCCGGGGGCTCTCATGTGGAAACTACTCTTGGTCAGGGTACATGGCTGTTTGCATTGTTGTATCCAACTACTACAGACGGTTTGTTTTGTGTTACGGGACCTGCGTGCTCTTTATTCTCTCCGGAGTTCAGTGTCACTTTGAAAGTAACTGTTTTGGGAAACATTCAATTGGTGGGTACATTCTCCTTTAATGATAAATAGCGGAAATGATCCTGGAGCTGCAGATGGTGAAATGTTCCGTATTTATCTTTGCAGACATGACAGGTCCACTTCACTGGAGGTTACACTGCCGGCTCCCATAACGATATCAAATCTGTCTGCAGAGACGAGGCCGAGACCCGCGATCTATAAAGTGGCAGAATTATCGCGTTGTCTCTACAGAACATTCCCCTTACCATACAGAACTCGGCTCGCTGTGTGCCGCAGCCCGGCATGGTGTGCCGCAGCCCGACAATGTGTGCCGCAGCCCGGCATGGTGTGCCGCAGCCCGGCATGGTGTGCCGCAGCCCGGCATGGTGTGCCGCAGCCCGACAATGTGTGCCGCAGCCCGACAATGTGTGCCGCAGCCCGACAATGTGTGCCGCAGCCCGACAATGTGTGCCGCAGCCCGACAATGTGTGCCGCAGCCCGACAATGTGTGCCGCAGCCCGACAATGTGTGCCGCAGCCCGACAATGTGTGCCGCAGCCCGACAATGTGTGCCGCAGCCCGACAATGTGTGCCGCAGCCCGACAATGTGTGCCGCAGCCCGACAATGTGTGCCGCAGCCCGACAATGTGTGCCGCAGCCCGACAATGTGTGCCGCAGCCCGACAATGTGTGCCGCAGCCCGACAATGTGTGCCGCAGCCCGACAATGTGTGCCGCAGCCCGACAATGTGTGCCGCAGCCCGACAATGTGTGCCGCAGCCCGACAATGTGTGCCGCAGCCCGACAATGTGTGCCGCAGCCCGACAATGTGTGCCGCAGCCCGACAATGTGTGCCGCAGCCCGACAATGTGTGCCGCAGCCCGACAATGTGTGCCGCAGCCCGACAATGTGTGCCGCAGCCCGACAATGTGTGCCGCAGCCCGACAATGTGTGCCGCAGCCCGACAATGTGTGCCGCAGCCCGACAATGTGTGCCGCAGCCCGACAATGTGTGCCGCAGCCCGACAATGTGTGCCGCAGCCCGACAATGTGTGCCGCAGCCCGACAATGTGTGCCGCAGCCCGACAATGTGTGCCGCAGCCCGACAATGTGTGCCGCAGCCTGGCATGGTGTGCCGCAGCCCGACAATGTGTGCCACAGCCCGACAATGTGTGCCGCAGCCCGGCATGGTGTGCCGCAGCCTGGCATGGTGTGCCGCAGCCCGGCATCGCATGCTATTGATCAATCTGCGGCCTACTATGACCCCCAAATCTTTCTCCACCTCTGACTTCCCTGGGGGGGGTGTCCATTAATATGTATTCCGCTTGTCTGCTCGTCACCCCGAAGTGCATTACCTCCACTGATGGAACTCCTCCCCCCCCGGTGTAGGATTCAGGACGCACCATTGTTTAGGTAGCATTTTTATTTTTTATTAAATCTTCCCATTTCTCTGTACAGAAAAAAAAAATGCACATTATTGGGGAACATCTCATGGTGACACGCCGTGGACGAGATGATCTGGTCTATACACAGAGCAAAAACAAAATGTACAAAAAGAAAGAAAATGTACCCGGGTGTGACAAATGGGGGACATGGAAGTCTATGACCGTTACTCGCTGTGTGGGGGGAGGGGCTCTGCTCCA